GGGGGCCGGATGCGGCCCGCGAAGTGGTTTCATGTGGCCCGCGAAGCCATCCTGGAAACAGTGAGGGAACTCCAGGCCAGCTGGGAGCCAATGTACAATTTTGTGGTGGCCATCTTGGCACTTCCCCTGGTGGACCATGCCTTGGCACTTGCCCTGGTCCCACCTCTTCTGGCAGAGACCCTCAGATCTGTCCCACTCCTGCCCAGGCCCCCACAGGCACCCTTGACGCAAATGATGTAGAACTGGCCACCCCCACCCAGTAGGTCACACCCACACTATCCACGCCCACCCAGTAGGCTGCACCCATTCTGTCCACACAGCCCTGCCCCCCCCAAGGGCAACCGCAATGCTGATGTGGCCCTCAGTAAAATTGAGTTTGATATCCCTGATCTAGAATGTTCTTCTCATTGCTTACACTCCTTCTAATATGTCTCTTCTGAAAACCTGCCAGCAACAGCTCTTGCCTTATTGTTCCTCTTATAACAGAGTAACAGAGTTAAAAGGGACCTTGGAAGTCTTCCAGTCCAACCCCCTGCCCCCATATCATTCTGGACAAATGGCTGTCCAGTCTCTTCTTAAAAATCTCCAGGGTTGGAGCATTCACAACTTCTGGAGGCAGGTTGTTCCACTGATTAATTGTTCTAACTGTCAGGAAATTTCTCCTTAGTTCTAGATTGCTTCTCTCTTTGATTAGTTTCCATCCATTCCTTCTTGTTCTAGCTTCAGGTGCTTTGGAGAATAGCTTGACTCCCTCTTCTTTGTGGCAGCCCTTGAGATATTGGAACGCTGCTATCATGTCAGCCCCTAGTCCTTCTTTCCATTAAACTAGACATACCCAATTCCTGCAACCGTTCTTTGTATGTTTTAGCCTCCAATCCCTTAAGTCCCCCTCTTGTAATGAAACCACAACTCACAATTCTCTGGCTCTTCAGCCTGGCCAAGAGACATCGAGGCATTCACTCCCAAACTTCCCACTTTAATGCCTCAGTTAAGACATTCTTTTTCATGCTGATGTGAGGTAGTATGGTGTAGTGCAGGGGTCTTCAAAGTTGACAACTTTAAGACTCATGGACCTCAACTCCCAGAATTCCTCAGCCAGTCATGCTGGCTAGGGAATTCTGGGAATTGAAGTCCACAAATCCTAAAGTTGTTAAGATTGGTGATCCCTGGTGTAGTGGGTAGGAAGAGGGTCTGGGAGACCTAGGTTCATAGCCCTAGAGGCTCATTCAAATGATATTGGGCCATTTAAATGCTCTCTCAGCAAAGCTGCCCCACAGGATAGTAGTTGTGAGAAATTTCCCAGAGGAGAGTGCTAGATGTAGGCTACCTTCAAACTTTCTGGAAGAGAAGCAGGAGAGAAGTCTTACACATAAATAAAACTTGACATACTCAAGAGGTTAATTGCTTTGGCCCACAGCTAATTTGGCTGTCCCTTGCTATCTTTGACCATATGTTCAATCCTCTTTGCCCTTCCAGATCTGTCAGTAAAGCAGTATTAACGTCACATGAAATCCATCAACACTCAGTTGAGTATTTGTGTGTGTGCTTGTGTGCATGTACAATATAAGCAGTAGAGATAAACTTCCTTTGCATTGTGGAAGGAGAGGGAAATACAGGAAGAAAAAGTTTCCAGTCCCTATTCTCTCTCTCTCTCTCTCTCTCTCTCTCTCTCTCTCTCTCTCTCTCTCTCTCTCTCTCTCTCTCTCTCTCTCTCTCCCTCCCTCCCTCCCTCCCTCCCTCCCTCCCTCCCTCCTTCTTTCTTTCTTTCTTTCTTTCTTTCTTTCTTTCTTTCTTTCTTTCTTTCTTTCTTTCTTTCTTTCTTTCTTTCTTTTTTGCACTTTAGTGGCAGTGGATCCATCCAGCTACATGGCCAATGTGTTCACTGAGTACTGTAGTTTAGGACGTCTTCAATGAACTAAATTGTTTCTGCATACAGAAAATTCCTCAACTTACAACCATTCATTTAGTGTCTATTCAAAGTTAAAATGGCATCAAAGAAAGAAAATTACAGGTAGTCTTCAACTTATGACTACAGTTGAGCCCCAAATTTTATTGCTAAGCAACAGAGTTGTTAAGTGAGTTTTGCCCTATTTTATGACATTTCTTGCCATAAATGTTAAGTGAATTATTGCAGTTATTAAGTTAATAACTCAGTTGTTAAATGAATCTGGCTTCCACACTGACTTTGCTTGTCAGAGAATTGCAAAAGGTGATCATATGACCCCAGCATCTGCAACTATTGTAAAGACATGCCAGTTTCCAAGTGCCTGAATTTTGATCATGTGACTGGGGATGCTGCAATGGTTGTAAATATGAAAAACGGTCATAAGACTTTTTTTCAATGCCATTGTAACTTCAAACGCTCACTAAATGAGTGGTTGTTAAGTCAAGGACTATCTGTATGAGAGATCCTTGCACTTATAACTAGTGCAGATCCCTACAGTCATGTGATCAAAATTCAAATGCTTGACAACTCGCATGTATTGACAAGGATTTCAATGGGCTTGGGTTGTGTGATCATCATTTGAAACCTTCCCAGCTGGTTTCCGACAAGCAAAGTCAATGGTGAAAGCTGGATTCACGTAACGATCATATGATTCACTTATCAACTTCAGAGGTTTGTATAACAGGTCAAAAAATTGGGTGTGACTCTCTGAACAACCTTGCTTAGCAGCTTGGAAAATCTGGTTCCAAATGTGGTTTTATTTGAGGCTTACCTGTAAGTAGTTACCTTATAAATACCTCTCTTGTATTACAACAAGTGGGCAGGGATTCTTCTATAATACAGGAGAAACATCTGGGGATCCCTTTGAAACGCCTTGATGTTCTGCTGACTGATCACAGCAGAGACAATCCAAGATCCAGGCTTTAGATTTGAAGTCTTCAGCTTGTGGAAACTATTTCCTTACTTAGCTATGGCTGAGGAATTCTGGGAGTTGAAGTCCACAAGTCATAAAAGAGCCAAGTTTGAAGACCCCTGTGCTAAGGAATTTCTACATTTGGTGACAGTTTGAAGCAATGGATAGAAACTAATTAAGGAGAGAACTAACTTAGAACTAAGGAGAAATTTCCTGACAGTTAGAGCAATAAATCAGTAGAACGACTTGCCTCCAGAAGTTGTTGGATGCTCCAACACCAGAGGTTTTTAAGAAGAGACTGGACAGCCATTTGTCTGAAATGGTATAGGATTTCCTGCTTGAAGTCCTTTCCAACTCTATTAACTCCTTGCTTAGAGTTCTACAAAACATTTCTCCAACATGGTCATAGATCTAAGGCTAGACTTGCAAACATCTTAGATAATTCAACTTCATTTCCGCATCCTACAAAAATTAGGATATGATTTATTCTGCAGATTGTGAGAACAGGTAAACAAAATGAAGCAGATAAAGTCCCAGATTTTGGATCAGATCACTGGGATTTCTATATCTAATCCGGGATATAGAAATCTATATCTAATCTGGGATATAGAAATCTGGTTTATATCCCATCAGTCAGCTAGCCAATACTAACTGGGTTTACATAATGCACGCAACTTAGTTTGGTTTTGATTGATTGCTGTGCAAACTCAAAAAATTGATGGAAATTCCTGCAATGCCCTCAAGTTATTTTATACTGTATTACAGATATTTACCTGGGCCGTTCAAGATTTTGGGGGACATTGTAGGTTGGATTCAAGTTTAATCATCTTTAAAATATCAATAGTTCTAAAGTTAATCATGATTAAAATTTGATTTTGATTGGGACCAAGTAGAGCTGCTCTTGTTTGTTAGATGTTATATGTTCTTTATATGTTCTAGCCTCCATCCCCTAATCATCTCTATTGCTCTTCTCTACACTCTTTCTAGAGTCTCAACATCTTTTTTACATCATGGTGACCAAAACTGGACACAGTACTACAAGTGTGACTTTACAAGGGCATTATAAAGTGGTATTAACACTTCACATGATCTTGATCCTAAAACATATAAAGAACAGTTGCTGGAATTGGGTATGTCTAAGAAGAGAAGGGCATGATAGCAGTGTTCCACTATTTCAGGGGTTGCCACAAAGAAGAGGGAGTCAAGCTATTTTCCAAGGTGCCTGAAGGCAAAACAAGAAGCAACGGATGGAAACTAATCAAGGAGAGAAGCAATCTAGAACTAAGGAGAAATTTCCTGACAGAACAATTAATCAGTGGAACAACCTGCCTCCAGAAGTGGTGAATGCTCCAACACTGGAAGTTTTTAAGAAGAGACTAGACAGCCATTTGTCTGAAATGGTATAGGATTTCCTGCCTGCACAAGGGGTTGGACTAGATGATCTCCAAGGTACCGTCCAACTTTATGATGATGATGATGATGATGATGCAACTTTAAGACTTGTGAACTTCAACTCCCAGAATTCTCCAGCCATCCCCCTGATTTAAACCATCCTTGTGAAATGGCTATCAGGACTCTTAATAATCCTCCAGAGAGGAAGAATTCACCATTTTCATATCTCAGACTTGTGGCCTTGCTGTGCAGATCTTACTATCAGAAAGTTTTTTTCCTTGTATTTAAACTAAATCTAGGCAGTTGTAACTTTTACCCATTATTTCTGTTTCTGATTTCTGTTTCCCTAACGCCCATCTCACCTCACTCAGGCTAGGCCCAACAAAAGTGAAAAACGGTACATTTTTTAAAAGTCTAAGATGAAAAGCAAACCATCTTGCTAACTATTATTCTTTTTCTGTTTAACATTTCTACCCTTTTCACTCATTCCCCCTTTTCCACTGAGAGCTTTAAATCTGGATGCAGCCTCTCTATTCTAAAGTCACTTAGTTTTCAGACTGGGCTCTAAAGAATTCGTGGAAGCTTATCAGGGGCTTGCTCAGAAGAATGTCAGTTTATATTTATGCATTACAGGTTATTGAATGGGGTCTGGCAATTTATTTACAGCTCTCTCTCGCTAGCTGGGCGTGTACCTGCCGTGCACAATGTTCTCCATTCCTCACTCTGTGTATTGTATCCAAGTTTCTCCGATGGCCACTAAAGTTACAGGAACTCCTTAATTGCCACCTTATCAGTCCATCAACCGAATTCCAGGATGATTGACACAGAAATCAGGGTGGGGGAGCCGGGAACCAAATTTAAGATCAGCTGCAGCAACAACAGCAGTAGCCAGGCTGGCAGGAGAGACCAACAGAGTTTTGTCTGGCGCTTAGTTGACTGGAATCCAAAGAAGATAGAAAGTAGGATTGTGGCCAGGCGCTAAGGATCTGGAACGAATGGGAGAGAAGTAATTTCTCTACAAGGAATACTGACTCTCAGTTAAGGTAAGTAAGAAATAGATGGACAAGAATATACTTAGGAGTTACACTAGGATTTGCACATCACAGCAAAGGTCGCCCTCCAAATTGGTGTGCTATTGTATCCAAGGGCGTGATGGCTCATAGGTTAAAGATGCTGCAGAGCTGACAGCCGGGGGTTTGAGACCTGAGCTCTGCGCAATAGGTGAGCTCCTGTTACTTGCCCCAGCTCCTGCCCACTGAGCAGTTCAAAGCATCCAAATGCGAGTAGATAAAGCATCCAAATGCGAGTAGATAAATGCTGTTACCTTCCCACTTTGGTGGGAAGGTAACAGCATTCCTTTGGTGTATAGCCATGCTGATCACATGATCAGGGTAACTGTCTTCGGACAATGCTGGCTCCCTCGGTGAGATAAGCACTGCGCCCTAGAGTCAGACACGACCAACATGGAAATTTTTACCTTAATATCCAAGGGGAAGGGCTATCGAGGGGTAAAATTAAGTTAATGGTACTCATTTTGCCCTTTAGCTCTTTCTGACAACTTCACAAATGGTAGGAGGGTGGGAGGAAGTGTTTGATCTTATCCAAGCTGAAGGTTTTGTGGCAGGCTGGTGTGATCACACTTTTGGTACTTCTCTGCAAGTGAAAGGGATGGGGGAGATACATGTTTAGATTACTTTTCAGTGTAAAACAATGTACCCAGCTTAGCATTTTCAAACCCAAATGCGGCCTTTGTTTGAAATATCCAGGCCTCCAAATGTTATGATGTAATTTGCCAACTATTTAAAAAAAAGTGTATTCAGGAACAGTTGGTACAAAATGCATAGTGTCATGAAAACAATGTATATGGTTGCAAAAATAAGAGAAAACATTTGCCAAAAATATGTACATTGGGCAAAATTGCAAGTGAAATATGGTTATTCAGATCTTGGATCGAATGAGGATGTTTCAAGTAGAAAGTCTCATTGGGCCAGTTAGTTTTTTTCACAGCAACCTGTTTCATAGAATGATTATTATGGTGATATAAATAGTCACTTTCAGGTAGTGGTTAAGGCACCAAACTTGGAACCAGGTGACCATGAGTTCTAGTCCTGCCTGAAGCACAAAACTAACTGGGTGTCCTTGGGCCAATCATTCTTTCAGCCCTAGGAAGGAGGCAATGGCAAAACATTTCTGAAAACTTTGCTAAGAAAACTGGAGGGACTTGTTCAGGACTCAGAAGGTACAATAAATGAATAAATATAATAAAAGACATAAATAATAAAGGCATCTCTTAAACCAGCTTGATCTAGTTGTAAAACCATAAAATGCTGAAACAGACATATCCTCCAATGCCAAGCAGATGATTCCACTAGATCCTCTTGGATATTGTTGTTTCTGTTACAATACAATGAGAGTTAGTGTGATCAATTGTTGAACTGGGCTCATCCTTCTGATGCCAGCATTCTGTTTACTACAAACTTTTTATTTTTGATGATGGCACAGCAAATGAGAGTATTTTTTTTTTCGGAGAAGTCAGCTGAGTTTTCCTTTTTCTCTTGGGTTTCAGTGAATGCTCTATGCTCTTTAATTTTATCCTTAATATAATCATCTGCCAGCAAATCTCACTGAAAGAGTAAATCTCATTTTTAATCACTCAGGACACCATTTTTAAAGGTTTTCTACAACAATAGTTTGAAGTTCTTTTGTTTTTGTTATTTATTTGTTAGCTATTTATGCAGAAAGTATTTAGGCATTGCAGGGAATTATTTCAAACATACAACTGTACAGTGAAAATACAAATACAAGTTGTTGTTTTTTCAAAGTCAGTCTGAGAATACATGGCTTTTTTTAAAAAAGAAAAAAAACTTAAACTAAATTACAACTACTGCAAAGAATCAAATATGCAGCCACCCATCAGTGCACCAACTTGCCTCAAAAATATTCCTTTACTAACTCAGCCTGTAGCATAACTATCAAGGACCTTCTTTGGTTTCCTTTATTTTTTCAGAGGGCCACCCTACACAATTAGGTTGCCAATTAACTGGAAGTAAAAATAAACAGTCAGTCTTGAACAATCACCTCCGACAACAGGGGAAAGTACAGAATTAAGCAAAATCCAAATTTAACATCTGCTAATGGCTGTCAACTGTGGTTGTTCCAAAACCAGATTTTTTTTTTTAAAAAAATTGACTATTCTTTATTCCCAGCATCTTTTTGGTTGGGGGAGTTACAAATTCATTCTTTTGTCTTTTAAAAGCGTTGTTTTCCATTTGCAACCACAAGGCTCTGTTCACAGGGCCTGGCAAGGCTTTTGTTTTGTTTTTTTAATCCCTGGCCTGCTGTCAACTTTCTTCCATAATTTCATCTAATATATCTTCCTGGCTTTTCTTTTAAAACAAAAACTCCACACTTTCCCTTGGGAATGAATGGATCCCACTAGCTGGGTTGTAATCTCAGCTGAAAAGATTATTGAATAATGTCATCTTGGCAGAAAAAAGCAATTTTCTGTCCTGCCTCCTCCTCCCCCTTTCCAAATCCCCTCTGATGATAATTTATCTCTTGTCCATTGCCGAATAAACTTACTCCATGTATCCACTCAGTTTGTCCAAACATTTTGATGGTTAGGAGACAGACCAAAGGCAGACATATATCCTGCGTGTGCGGAAACATTTTCAATACACAGTCTCCAGCTTGGAAAAACAAACGCGAACCACACAAACAAAATCTGGAAATACAATAAGCGGGTGTGTTAAAAATGCTTCCAGCCTCCTTTACAATGCCACATGTGATTTTTTTTCATGCTTAAGATAAAAAAAAAAGTTTTGATCTGCCTGACCTAGCTATGCCTCACATGAATGCTGTCTAGAAGCACTGAACTGAAGCACTGTGATTCTCTTCTGGCTGGGGATGCCTGGAGCTGTAGTCCAGGTATCAGTTTAAGGGAAACTTCTCCGAATCTATAGCTTCAAACCTGCTTCTTGAAAGATTAAACTTACACAATGGATGTCAGATCCTCTCATGGATCACATTGTACAGACTGGCCTCCAATAGTCTTGTTTATGACCTCCCTAAATGGTCTTATGAATTTATAACAGTGGTTCTCAACCTGTGGGTCGGGACCCCACTTGGGGTCAAACGACCATTTCATGGGGGTCGCCAAACAACGCAGTCTGCCATTTTTTTCCCCCTTTTCCTTAGCTGTGCTACTCCCTTTTATTCTATTGGCTTTTGAAAGCCAATAGAATAGACTCTCTTGAATAGAGTCTAATTCTTTTGGATTTCAAAAGCCAATAGGAATTGTCCAGGCTGTCTCTGCCCTGCTGAGCCCGCCAAAAGTCCCATTCTGCAAATGGTGCTGCACCAGTTGAGTAGTCTTTGACGTACGACCTGTTGAGTAGTCCTCGACTTACGACCGGTTGGGGGTCGCGGCATTAAAAAGGTTGAGAACCACTGATTTATAAGGTCTTATGAATAGTCTTATGAATTTCCTATCTTTCTTTTCCTGGCTTAAAGTGAAAAGCATAAAATCCATCAGCATATGACACCCAATTTAGATCAGTGTTTTCTAATCATGACAACTTTAAGATGTGTGGACTTCTACTCCCAGAATTCTAGCTGGCTGGGGAATCCTGGGAGTTGAAGTCTATACCTCTTAAAGTTGTCAAGATTGAAAAAGGCTGATTTAGAAGGTCTTTGGGCTTTATGGTTTATGGAGTCAGTCAAGCTATCAGTATGGCGATATAAAGCCTGTCTGCATTAGTGCTATATCACTCTAACGATGGCTGAAACGCTGCTATAAATCTCTAATGTGGAACACTTCGGCAGTAAAAATATAAAGATAGTCATAAAAGGCCTATGACTGATCTGTCTTCCAGTAGTTGGGAATAATAAGGAATCCAAATGTTCTCAAGAGTGTATGCGGGAGGGGTATTGGTATCAAAAAAGAAGAGCCATGGCAAAGAAGCGCCATGGGCACCATTTTGACTTTTTTGACAACCCCCCCCCCCGCAGATGCCTCTAAATGCCACCTGGGAAAATGTTAAAAGAGGCAAAACTCAGGTTTTCTCTTTTTTCTCGTACAACTTCAAGATCCACCAATCAGAGCCATCCACTAATGACAGAATTGTTTCAAAAGAGTGCCTCCGAGCATATAAGCTGGGCTCATAGTCCTTTCTTACAAATTACTGTTGTTGGTGGGCCTGAGTTTTACTGACCCTACCTGAAACATTTGTCCTTAGCAATGTTTTGTGAGTTGAGCGGCTATATCCGTATGATGAATTATACAGAAACATGGATGGATGGATGAATAAATAATAAAGAAACCAATTTACTGTTTTGCACCCTTTTTGTGACTGATGGCAGCTAAGAGAGCAATCAATCTGAATAGAGCTAGATGGGACCTTGGAGATCTTCTAGTCCAACCCCCTGATCAAGCAGGAGACCCTATACCTTTTCAGATAGGTGGTTGTCCAGTCTTTTCTTAATAACCTCCAGTGATGAAGCACTGCAACCTCTGAAGGCAAGCTATTCCACTGGTTAATTGTCCTCACTTTAGGAAGTTTCTCCTTAATTCCAGATAAAACACAGGAAGCAATTCTGAATCCAGTCGAATCATTATTCCATCTTATTCACAGCCTGTAATTTTCAGCACTTGCCATGTTATTAGGGGGCAACTCTTCCCAATTCTTCTGGAGAGGCAAAAGACAAACACGAATATTTCTTCTAGCTTCAGCCTAACTCCAAGCCCATTTTCCAACCTCCCAGTCTTGCCAACTTTTGAGAGTGGTTTTCTTCCTTCCGCCCTGCTTATAAGTAGTCTTCAACTTACAACCTTTCATTTAAGGACCATTCAAAGTTGCAGTTGTACTGAAAAAAGTGTCTTATGACATGTCCTTACGACCATTGCAGCATCCCCATGATCGTGTGATCAAAATTGGGGTGCTTGGCAACCAGGATGTATTTACAATGGTTGCAGCATCCCAGCATCATATGATCACCACTTGCTTCCCAGCTGGCTTCTGACAAGCAAAGTCAGTGGGGGAAGCTTAACAACTGTGTGATTCACTTAACAATAATGGCAAAAAAGGTAATAAAAGTGGGTGGGATTCACTTAACAACCGCCTTACTTGGCAACAGAAATTCTAGTTCCAATTGTAGCCATAATTCAAGGACCATCTGTATTTCTTTCTCTTGGTAAAAAAAAAAATCTGGCCTCCTTTCTCAAATCAATTCTTTATTATGGCTGTAGACCAGCCTAAGTCCTCTCTTCTGTTTTCCTCCATAGATTTATAACCGTCATGGCTTTGCCATCCACTTTGCCTTACGACCGTGTAATGGTGAACATGGAAAGGGAAGAGGTTTCTCTGGAGCGCACCAAATCCCAGCTGGATCCCCGTCTCATAAGCACTACCACTGGCAGCATAGAAAACTCCTGCCACAACTGCCTGCTCCCTTTTGGGGTGCTGGCCAGCATCATTGGCCTAGTAACTACAAGTGTTGCTTGTGCCGGTCATTTCTCTGACACCATCCTGACTGTCATAGGTGGAGTCATGCTGGCTACCGGGCTTCTCGGAGTGACCGTCAGTTGCATCTGGCACCAATACAGGAGAAGGAAGCGCTGCGGCAGCTGGACCATCCTAACAAGTGAAACGGAAGCAAAGAAACCAGTTATCTGAAGATCCGGAACCAAATCCAGAACCAGAACCAGGAGAGTTAACCTAGGACAAAATCTCATTTGGCCTCATTGGGCAAAGCTCATTTTGAACTAATTGATTACTTTCAGAATTTGTTCCCACCTTTCTAATTTTCTCTTAGATTAAACAAAAGCAACAATAAAATCAGGGGGAGAAAAGAAGAAGGAATCAAAAGGCAGACAAGAAAAAAAACGGAAGTATAAATACATTCAAATGAATGTATTGAAAATTAACATAAAAGCATTCTACTTTCACATGCCCACAGACTGAGCGGATAGGAGGCCCTTCTACCTGGGAACATACTCTATAAAAACAACTTTTTTTAGCACAAAATGAAACACAGGTGGTCCTTGTTTAGCATCTGCCTTGTTTAGGAACTGTTTGCAGTTACGATGGTGATGAGAAAGTAATTTTGCTATCCTCTCATTTACAGACCTCTTTTGCAAGTCTATACAGCAAAGAAAAGTAGAAGATCATCAGCACAGTCACAGCTTCATTTAGCAACCATTTTGCTAAACACCCAGTTGTGGTTGCTAAACGAGGACTACCTATAAATTTGAGGCAAAATGTAAGTTTTTCTTTTGCCATTATGTCAAAAAAGATTTGCATATTAGTGTATATTTTATTAAGGTCTTTTTGGGGTAGCTTCTGTTTCAAGGCACTGCAAATATGCATTTATGTGTCTTATGCTCAAACATATATGTATGCCATTCTCAGTAATCTGTTCCTTCCTCTCTTTCCATTGCAATGATGGAAATATCATTTCCCAAAAAGGGAAGATGATTAGATAAATTTCACACTCATGAATGCTTATGAATAAAAATTTAAGGATTGTTTCTGATTATTAAAGATGTCCTTTTGGGGAAAATATCTCTACTTTTATTCACAAATGATGCTGTGTTGTTGGTTGAAAACTCAAAGATTTGCAGCAAATGTTAGCTAGATTGCAGAATGAAATAAAGAGTGTGGCTCTAGCAGTTAATGAGTTAAAGACCAAAGTATTGGGAAAATGGAATGAGTGATTGCAAGTTATACAGAAATGGTGAAAAAACTAGAGCAATGTTTCTGAACCTTGACAAGTTTAAACTGTGTGGACTTCAACTCCCAGAATCCCCCATTCAACAGAAGAGTGAATCAGATGCAAGAAAGAAAAAGACGGAGAATGTGGTGATTGGCTGGAGATGATAGGATCCTCAAAAAGAGAAAGACGACAACTTTAAAAACAAAAGGCACACTGAAGAAGTGTACAGGCATGGTTTTCATGAGAGTCATGAAAAATATATAGCTAGTCCTCGACTTATAACCATTAGTTTAGTGATCACTTGAACTTACAACAGCACTGAGAAAAGTGACTTACGACCATTTTTACCCAACCATTGCAGAAACCACACGTGACCAGAATTTGGATGCTAGGCAAGTGGCAAATATTTATGATGGTTGCAGTGCCCTGGGGTCATGCGATCACCCTGAGGTCAGGCGATCTTGTCACAAGCAAAGTTAATGGGGAAGCCAGATTCACTCAATAACCATGTTTCTAACATCTGCAGTGATGCACTTCACAACTGTGGCAAGAAAGGATGTAAAATCGGGCAGAATTCACTTAACAACTGTCTTCCTAACAGAAATTTTAGGTTCGGTTTTGGTCGTAATTTGAGGACTATCTCTAGTGAAAGGGATTGGTGCAAATTAGCTTCAACTGTCCTCCTCCCCTCCCCCTCCTTTTAATTGCATTGCTTTATGTTTTCTTGCATAAGGGGCCATTTGTACAGACTGAAGCACCAGTGCATTTGCTCCCGTAAATGTCTTGTCAGTCTGAAGTAGCACCATCCAGGCGTAGGCAGAGCCCTGTGGCTGGTGCTTTGGAAAATAGACCTCTACCTTTGGGCTAGAAATTGGCCCGAACCTTCCAGTGAAGCAAGATCTCAAGAGAAAAGGAAAATTCCCTCCTCCCAATCCTGGGCTACACACATAGCCTTGCACAATCCCCTCTGGGGCTGGTGCAATCTCTGCCATCTCGGTGCCCTTTTATAAACAGCCAGAGCTTATCGCTCTGTTCATAGACCTCTCCCAGGTCAGTGCATTGTTCCAAGAGCACGGCCCCATTTCCTGCTGATGAATGACACACTCTCCAGGCCTGGCAGGGTCTCTGCCTAGAAACTACTCAGCGCTGAAGAGCAGAAGGAAAATCAGAAACGCAAACATCCACCCACATTTTTCCTTAGTGCCCCTCCATCCTGGCAGGTCGGCCCAGGGTTCATTCGGTCACTGCACTGTATTAGTTGTCCAGCTTCATTCCCAGACTGTGTGTAGCTTCTGCAGGTGCACCAAGGTTTATGGATGCTAAATAAAACCATCCATAGGAGGACCAGGAAGAAATTTTTAATTCAGAATGTCTTCCTGCTGGGAAAACTCATGTTTCTGTTGCTTAACCAGTGGTTTGCTTGCACTGTAATAATTTCCTAGACTGACACAAAGAGTCATAATCTATTTTCCTAGCCTGGTGCTTTTTAGCTAGACTGGTTTGCACACTTCTTCTCCAAGCAATGTAATTTCCATATGATATGCTTTTTTTTTTGCATAATTATGATATGGTGAAACTTATTTTCAAAGGAACACTTTATTTTTAGGAAAGGATTCTAGAAGAAAAGCAATGTTCTGTGAAATCAGTGGTTGCACCATTAAAGCTTATGGAAATGCAGTGGTCTCAGGTAACCCATTCTCAGCTTCAGAAGAGGAAGTCATCAAACAAACTTTACAGGATTGTTGTGAAGACCATTGCAGTGTGAAAAACTTAAAAACACTGTGTGAGGTACACAAGAAATGTACATATTGTATTTTTCCATTTCTGTTAAAAGAATAGGCATATAGAGGCACTTAGCTAAGATACATTTTGGAAAGGAGATATAATAAGCTGAAGGAATAGAGAGAAATTATATATATACTGATTTAAAGGATACTTTTAGAATAGTGCACACTATTGTAGATGCACACTATTGTAGAATAACATATAGCTTATGAATAACATTATTTATTTTATATGGCTTATTCTTTATAAAAACTGCTTAGAGTTAGTATTTTAAAGTATAACTATGAACCAAAGTGCAGCCTTGTTTAACTGAAGCATGAACACACATAGGTTCTAGATGCAAAGCAGGTATTCTTATAGAAAAACAAGGGAAATCTTTTATAATTGCAATTATCCAGTTTGGGTAACAGTTCACCTTGTAGATAAGGAGGCTATACCTGAGTTAGCAAGATGTTACAAATCACATCACAGAAAAGGGAGTGAAGATAAGACAGGAACAAAAGGGGCATTTGATCTAATAATTGGAGGGTCCGGTAATAGTTGCTAGGCGGTCGGAAAGCATGTGACCTGGGTGGGCCTATCAACTGGGCTCACTTTGGAAGGATGTGGCATGATGTACGGGACAGGGTATAATAACCTATGCAAAAATTGATTCAAGTGTGGACTCTGGGATTTGCCATTGCCAAGAGTTCCACCACTTTTGCAAAAGCTTTAATAAAACTTGTTTTGTTTTCCAACACCCTTGGAGTCGAATTTTTATTCCTCATAATTGCATTAAGATGAAAATCTCCCACAGACCAAAGCTCAGTTCCTGGTGGATGGGCACATGTATATACAAGCAATCCTTGACTTACAACCATAACTGGGAGAAGAATTTCCACCGCTAAGCATGGCAGTTGTATTAAGTTGTGCCTGATTGTGCTTTTTTTTTGCCATGGCTGTTAAGCAAATCATTGCAGTTGTTAAGGGAATCACAGTTATTAATTGAATCTGCCTGTTGAAAGCTGGCTAGACAGATCATAAATGGCAATCACGTGATCCCAGGACACTGCAATGGTCCTAAATAGATGCCAGTTGCCAAGTGCCAGGATTTTGATCATGTGACCCTGGGGATGCTGCAACCATTATAAATGCAGCGACTGGTTGTCAAAGTCACTTTTTCACTGCTGTTGTAACTTTGGTTGCTACAGAAATGGTAATAAATCAAGGACTACATGCAGTTTGTTTGGCAGCAATAGTTTTGCAGTTGCCTTCTAGAATTTTTCCTCATTTCTTCATTTTTCCCTATACAGGTAGTCCTTCACATACACTATGACCACAATAAAGCCCCAAATTTCCTTTGCTAAGCAAGGCTGTTGTTAAATGAGTTTTCCCCATTTTACGACCTTTCTTGCCACAGTTGTTAAGTGAATCACTGCACTTGTTTAGTGAATCATGAGGTTGTTAAGTGAATCTGATTTCCTCACCCCCATTGACTTTGCTTGTCGTAAGCAGGCTACAAATGGTGATCTCACAACCCCAGGAAACTGCAGCCATCATAAATACATAAATAATTTGCCAAGTGCCCAAATTTTGATCATGTGACCGTTGGTTGTTGTAATGGTTGTGTGAAAAGTGGTCATAAGTCACTTTTTTCAATGCCATTGTAACTTTTGACAATCACTACTAACAAATAGTTTAAGTACTGTAGACTCTCACCCAAGCAAGGATCAGACATAACATGTTTTAGCTTTACTGAATTGCCTAAGATTATCAGACACCAGCACCTAAGCTGGACAAAAAAAAAATCCTTGAGTGGAGAGCATCTTATAATAATTCCATATTACTTCACTGCACAACCTCATATGAACACTAATAAACCCCACGGTCTTGCATGTCTTTCAGTGGTGTGACTTTTTAAAAACGCTTTGCAGTTATAATCTTCATCTCCCAAACAGCAGCTGCATCTATTGGCATTTACAGCTTAATACATTATTAAAGCAGAGAAAACCTTTCTCAAAATATGAAAGAACAAACCCCTGGAGGGAGAAAAAAGGGGGAATTTGATGTGCAGCATGATGAATGAATTTTTATGACTAAGCCACGTTCTCATTTTGATATCATTAGCTTACCGATATCGTAGTATTTTCTATCACTTTATCCTCCAAATCTAATCAAGACTCTTTGATTAGATTAATAATTGACATTTTCACCTCCTCTCACCCCTGGAGTGAGGGCAGAAATTCTGCAAGTGATTAGTTGCTTTTGTAAATGGAAAGTGGTGAAGTCTTCCTTCCCTTTCAAGTTATCAATATGCTTATCTTATCCCCAACTGCAACCTCAGTGAATAAGCTACCCATAATATAAGAAATGCAGATAATTGTGAGCTTCTGGGGAAAACAGTAGGATCAGAATGTAAAATAAAAACTGGGATTCTGCCAGCTTTTTTTAAAAAAACCCAAGGGCTTAAGTGAATTTTCTGCTACCGAAGGTGCTGTTTTATTTGCATTAATGTTATTCTTTGCAACACTGCAAAGTTCCCTTTCAAAATAGGGCAAGCAGAATATCGTTCAATCATCTTCACCTATGTGTCTAAATAGGGCACAGCAAAGGGCCTAATTTGTAGAATCACTGCATACACATTCAGCTGTTGTTGGTGATATGAGGTAAATCTGCACCACCAGATTGCCTCAGTGTCAGTACTGGCCACTGTTTCTTGAGGACTAGCAACCATTTTGTCCTCTACTTGCCCTAGCCCACCACTAGGGAAATTTTGGGTCATTTTCTTTCCTGCTATGCATCCAAAGTAGTAATTTCTGACTTGTGCTAATACAAGTGGTGCTGTACTGTTCAGCTCCTGTGCTTAATTCTATTGTGCACAAATTCTTCCACCCTAACTGGGTACTGTGCATTGCGACAAAACATCTTCTGCCCTCCGCTGAGCCTTTTTTTCTCTTTTGTTTCACTGCTGAAAGAAAAAAAATCAAAGGGATGGCAAAAAAGTTAAATATTTTGTTTTTTAAAAAGTGGAATAGTGAAAGACTGAGTTTTTCCTCTAAGAATATCAATGATGATTGAACTTTTATTTCGTCCAGAAATTAATTGTAATTCTACCATTTTCTCCTTCTAGCCCAAGTAACTGGAAGAACAATAAAACTGCCGTTTTGCACACAGCAGGTAGCAAGTATGAGGAGGGATCAACGGAGGGGAAACCAGGTACGGGTAGTCCTCGAATTACGACCACAACTGAGCCCAAAATTGTTGTTAAGTGAGACATTTCTTCAGTTTTTGCCCCGTTTTACGTTTCTTGCAACAGTTGTTAACTGATTCATTGCTGTTAAGTGACTCTGGCTTCCCCATTGACTTGTCAGAAGGTCACAAACGGTGATCACGTGACCTTGGGACATAGCAAAAACCTTCCTCCCTCATGAGTCAGTTGCCAAGCACCTAAATTTTGATCACGTGATCATGGGGATGCTGCAAAAGTAACTGTGAAAAATGATCGTAAGTCACAAATTTCAGTGCTGTTGTAACTTTGAATGGTCACTAAATGAACTGTTGTAAGTTGAGGACTACCTGTACAAGGTTTGCTAATGGAAACCACACTCCTCAAAGACCCACTCAGGGAAAAAATTAAGCAATTGGTGTTTACTTTCCCACCATGAATGGGAAGGATAAAGAAGCAAGGAACTACAAAATTAGGGAGGGGGGGGGGCATAGGAAATGTGTTCAAGACAGACTACTAGGCCATCACAATGGCCACAGCAGAGGAAGGGGCTAAAATTCAGAAAAGGATTTCTTTAGCTTGCTTTATTTCTACCCACGTTAGGCACAGGAGTTGAGGAGCTTAAACCTGTGAAGTTGGGGAAAAAACTCACCCTTTATTAACAGCATCATATGTTGCTGCTCCAGCTTGCTTGTAAGTAAGGCAGGACAAGAAGCCATGGATGGAAAGTAATCAAAGAGAGAAGCAACCTAGAACTAAGGAGAAATTTCCTGACAGTGAGAACAATTAATCAGTGGAACGACTTGCCTCCAGAATTTGTTGGATGCTCCAACACTGGAGGTTTTTCAGAAAAGATTGGACAATGATCTGTCTGAAATGGCATAGGGTTTCCTGCCTGAGCAGGGGATTGGACTAGAACAGTGGTTCTCAACCTTTTTAATGCCGCGACCCCCAACCGGTCGTAAGTCGAGGACTACTCAACCGGTCGTAAGTCGAGGACTACTCAACTGGTGCAGCACCGTTTGCAGAATGGGACTTTTGGCAGGCTCAGCAGGGCAGAGACAGCCTGGAGAATTCCTATTGGCTTTTGAAATCCAAAAGAATTAGACTCTATTCAAGAGAGTCTATTTTATTGGCTTTCAAAAGCCAATAGAATAAAAGGGAGTAGCACAGCTAAGGAAAAGGGGGGAAAAAATGATGGACTGCGTTATTTGGCGACCCCCGTGAAATGGTCGTTCGACCCCAAATGGGGTCCTGACCCACAGGTTGAGAACCACTGGACTGGAAGATCTCCAAGGTCTCTTCCAACTTTGTTATTCTGTTACGTAGAGGTAATTAACTTTGCAAGGTAGAGACTGAAGAAAAAAAAAAGGGAACTACGGATATCACCCTGAGTTCCTTAGATCAGAGGCCCCCAACCTTTTGAGCACCAGGGACCGGTTCCATGGAGAGAGGTTTTTCTGTGGACCGGAGGGGACGTGGTTTCATGTACTGCCTGCATCCCATGGATGGGGCTTTGGTTGTTTGCGTGGACCGGTTTCTGGCACGCTGCAGTCCAGTGCTGGTCCATAGACCTGGGGTTGGGGACCCCTGCCTTAGATAGTTACACATATATTAGGAAGGCATTTTGAAAAGAATTCTATACCATAACGAAGACCTCCGAGAAGGAGCAAAACCATTTGCTTTCAATGTAACTGCCACCTCAGTTGTGGCATCAAGGAAAGTGAGAATTATGAAACAGATTGATTACATGTGACTCCGAGTTTAAGAAAAGACCTGTCTGGGCTCTGCTGGGACTATACAGTCATAATCTTGATTTCATTAGCCTTGCAAGGGTACCTGGGTGTACCGAGCTCGGTTTTCTTACAGACATTTCATTACCCAAACTAGGTAATATCATCAGTGCCAGTAAGGAGTGGGGTTTAGTCTTAGTTTATATTCTAGTGACTTGCCCTGTCAGCGTTGCTGGGGGTAGTCTTATACCGTAGGTTCTTTGGTTGAGCTATTTATTGTTGCTTGTTTGGTAGTTCTTTGATTGGGGCATTGTTTAACTTTAGACCAGTGGTTCTCAACCTTTTTAATGCCGCGACCCCCCAACCGGTTGTAAGTCGAGGACTACTCAACCGGTCCTAAGTCGAGGACTATTCAACTAGTGCAGCACCGTTTGCAGAATGGGACTTTTGGCGGGCTCAGCAGGGCAGAGACAGCCTGGACAATTCCTATTGGCTTTTGAAAGCCAATAGAATAAAAGGGAGTAGCACAGCTAAGGAAAAGGGGGAAAAATGGCGGACTGCGTTGTTTGGCGACCCCCGTGAAATGGTCATTCGACCCCAAACGGGGTCCCGACCCACAGGTTGAGAACCACTGCTTTAGACCATCAGATTGTCTGTTTGATGTTAATCTTGCAGTTTATCTAGGCTTGTCTGGGTGCTGATTGATGGTGGGGAGGTGTTTTGGTCTTTTTGTTCCTTTTTTGGGTTGTCTCTTTTGCGTTGTATATATCTTAGATGTTGTTGATGTCTGTGTGTCTACTGATGGCTAATTTGTCAGGCTGCCAGGCTTCTAGAAATACCCTGGCATTTTTGGATTTGTCTTGGTGTAAGATGATCAGTTTC